TGGCTGGCCCTAATGCAGGCAGTCTCCATCAACAAGTCCATAAAAAGGACGGTAGCACCCAGAGAGGAAAGGTTGCTTGGGACCAAAGAAAGAGTAACCAAGAAAAGTGACGAAAACGGGTAGGAGAAGGAAGCGTAGGCGCTGCAGAAGCAAGAAAGCCAGAACCACCAAACAAGAGGGCAGAACCGTCCGCGCGGGCGGGTCACGCGAGGGATATGTATGAGATGTTATGGCTACGATTGTGGTGCGGTTCTGACGCGCCGATGCGAGAGGTTGGGCGACCCATGGCATGATACGCCCAGCGCAGCTTATTACAGGGGAAGCCTAGCCAACCGGAGGAGCCTCTGCGCAGGAAGCTTTTCTTTGCAGGACAACCTCAAATTACTCTTTAGGTAGTCCGCTGCTCCGGATGCCTTTCCCAACTTGGTCTACCAGTTCAGGGTGGTGGTGTGCCCGTGTTTGTTTCTGGAGTATCCGGAAGACAAGGCTGATCATGGCTGATGAGCTGACAGTGAGACTGAGACAGTGGGAGCGGGAGGCAGAGAAACCACAGAAGGAATCTTTCCATATTGGTTGGTGACCGAGGTGGGCGCCGGCGATGTGATTGTCAATGCTACCCTTACCCGCATTGCCGGAGAAGAAAGCAACAAGTGAAATTCACTCAATGCTCGGTCGGATTGCCATGGTGATTTCCCACGGGCGGCTGCATTGTTGTAGCGTCGTAGCGAATGGCGGCAAGACAACACAACAAGACAACAACACCTCAAATCCACCAGCCATATCCGCTTGCTTCGTTTCCTTGGATGCCAAATTCAGCGAACCCGCGCGAAACACAACATCGCAAACTCAGCAACGACCCCCAATGAGTCAGCGGCGGCGCAAGCAAGCAGCTTCAAAATAATGGAAGTGGCTGTTAGTCGCCCGAAATATGCCGCTTGGCCGTGGACTCCTCACTGCTGCTCCTCTTCGCTGCATGCTGTGCCTTGAATTGCGCTGTCTTGTCCTGTTTCTGAGGCTGGCATGTGCATGCTACTCCGTAGTCTCCTGCCTCATCCAACGCATTGAAATGGAGTTCGCGCTTGACATAAACACAAGGGTCAAGCGAAAGCAGGTGGGGATTGAGCGGATTCCGTACCCCTTACGGCTGCGATTTCTGCAAGTGGTCGTCGGCGTCAGCGACTCAGCAGGTCCATCGACGACTCAGCGCTCGCGTGTCCGTAATAATCCAAGGATTCAGATATCAGGCAATTGGGCAGATCCGACTCGGGGGATGCGGGCCTGGCAAACTGTCGTACAGCACACACGCAGTCTGCAGAAGGCTGGATGCTCCGGGCTGGGCGCCATGGGCTGAACCTGGGCGTCGGGAACTCTCGCTAAGGCGCCTGAAGGAACCCGAATCCGTCACCAGATCCTGGCATGATCTCCGTACAAACCAAGCTGCCAGATGCCAGGCCAAGGGTGAGGCGTGGGAGAGGAGAATTGCGGCATAGATCGGAGAGGGGCGGGCTCACGGGAGTCACTTCTGGCGCCAGCTGCTGCTCCTCCTCCGGCCCCCGGTTTACCGTTCGAGATTGGAGGAGCTTGTGAATCGTGGATGTCTCCAAAACGACTAACTGGACCTGGGCTGGTTTGCATGACGACAGTCGGACCCGGGCGCCCGTTCTTGACCGCTGCTAGACTCAGCCGTCCGCTCGAGACATGTGCCGAAGGTGATTTAAGAGAAATCCAAAGTGATTGAACCTTTTCCCACCGGACGGCAACGCTTGAAGTTGGCCCCGTACTACTATGCCTCCCAGCCAATGGTCACTGTTGCATGACTGTCAAAAGGTCAACATCGCATCGATCTCTGCGCCCAGTCAACGTCCCGCATTACATAAGTAGGAGCTCCGCATATTCAAGAACCCGAAAAAGGACCCCAGAATGTCAAGGGTCGACCAGAATCCATGTCCGAAACCCACCTGCTAACACCATGTCGATGTCGTGGTCTTGCGTCTTGCCCACTCCGATGGGACAATCCACTCATGGTGGGAACCGTGGATACTCTCCTGCGACCACTCAAAGAATTTGAGAAAGAGAAGAAAAAATCCTCATCGCTTGCAGGTCCGAGTCCTTCTGCGCGTGAAATTTGGCGTCATGGCGCCAGCCACGCGCCTTTTCCGCTCGCCGTCCGTCTCTGGAGTCTGCCGCTACTGGCTCCTTACCGCTCCGAGACCGAGGGTCTTTGTTCAGGCCGGCATTCCCGCTGCCGGAGAGGCATGTGGCCGCCGCTTGTCTCAGCACCTCTCTACGAATGCAAGTCCGTCTAAAATGTATGGTCGGTATACGTCGTCGGGCCATCTTGGCAGATAATGGGCGTCATGGAATGCATCTAGACTTGGTGCAATGCAAAGTCTCAGGATCCCACCATTCTGCTTCTTCGGTCCCTTTGGCGTCGCTGTTGCAAAAAGGCCCTCTGGAACCATGATGCGATCTGCCAGATGCTAGTGTAGATTCTCTGACTCGGGTGAATTGGACGGATGGTGGTCCGTCCGAAGTCGTAAGCAGCTTCGAGACTCCGCCGACGCACAGAAGAGTTCGTCTCGATCGAGCAGCAGATGATGCATCGAAGCCTGGGTCCAAGCTCGAGGTTGTTTAGGATCCTGAAGTGATTCGACCGCCATCCTGGGGTAGTCGACAACGCGGCGTCGTTGGCCGCCACCAATCGTAGAGTACTCTTGTTGCGGCCCGCAAACGGTTCCACGCTGCCGAACCTTCAGTGTCTTCAGGTGAGCGACGGTCGTCATCGATGGCTAGTTTCGAACCGTCTCTACGCGGGTGACCCTTGAAACGCCGGAACTTGGACCCTGTCAGTGTGCCAAGCATTCTCCCAACGACTAAACTCACTTGATTAGCCCTGAGAATGGTGAGTTGAGATCGAGCCCGTGGCCATCTTTTATGTTGCGTGAGAGATGGTGATAGCAAAGGCAAGCTTGTGGACAAGAAATGGAGGATCCAGGGGTATACTTGATCTCGGCTTCTCTGATTAGACTGCAAAGTTTGGTGGTTGGACCACAAGCAACCCTTTCTGCTGCAACCGCGAGCGCGCTGCAAGACGATGTCAAGCTATTGGTTATGAGAGATCAGAGATGTGACTAGCTTTTAGCGATGAGATGCCCTGACGAAGTCAGCGCCGCTCGTCTTGCCCGTTCACTCATTGACGATATGTTGTGACAGAGTTGAAAGGATCCGACTTATAGTCAGAGGTAATGCAGATGTGCTCATAGATCAACTCAACGAAGGCTCAACATGTCCGAGTCTGCTTTTCGTTTCTTTCCACAAGTTCCACTCGTCTGGAGGTCTTGCTCGTTTCGGTCCTTCCCCCTAGTGTAGTTGATAACACGTTCGACGTTTCGTTCTTCGAATGTGAGAATTTGGCTACAAGGAGTAGATTTAGTGGCAACTTGACGGCTCGCAATGTACCAGAACGATTTGAGAGTACACGATTAACCCGTATCCGTCGAAGATGGGGGTTTGCCTCGTAGGCAGATTCCTCAAAGACACTTCCCAGTCACCGCCAGCGCGATACCGGCTAGTAATCGAAGATGGAGCCTTTTGAACTGCCTTGTAGACCACATCAACGAAATCTGGTCTCCGAAACGGCACGATAAGTTTCAACCTGAGTTAAGGTTGTTAACCAGGGATGAGTGGCAGACATTTTTAACGTACTTACCTCCAAAGCACCTTTCGCTAGAAGCATAGCTATGGTTGATTTTACATGCCAGGATCTTTGTCCTCTATGGCCGTTTTGCTCTTACAATTCGTTTGCAAATACGTTAATGATGCATGCTCGTACTCAATAGATGGTGCCCATATGCAATCTATGGGAAAACGAGCTCCAAGCTACTTAGATTCAATTAGCTCGAATGGCCTTCAAGTAGTCGTGATGATCTGTACTTACATCTTAGCGACACATTTCGCGACATGACCATGAACTTGTCAATCCTGCAGCCATTCCAGATCAGCCCAAACGTCAGAGCTGAGGCAGTTTTCTTGTTGCAGTTTAACCCCTTCAACAGTAGCAAAGCGAAGAAGATGACACCGACGAATCCTACAGGTTGAGTGTTCGAGACTGACGAGTCCCGTCATGTCAGCCTTCTATCAATGGACACCAACCGGGAGATGATGGCAGGGTCTCCTTTAAGGACATTGCATCTAGCACCCAAGCCAGCTGCTTGAGACATTAGCTCCGAGTTTCGATGTCGCTAGTATCTTCGCTTTTCTTTCTTGACAGTGTGGTCAGGGGGGATGGCATAGAAGACATGCAAGCTTGCAGGTGGGCAGTGGTACTGATTGGAAGAAGATTTCTCTTGCCCAGATTGGAATATGGATTGGGATGGAAGCCTCGAGCGTGGGAAGGTACAGCACGGGTAGGGTCCTACCAGCAAAGAGGCAAGGTTACGTGATGAGGCGGAAATGTCAAATTATTGGGAAAGAGCGTTGAGTCGTCACATTCGAAGCAGGTGCCGTCGTACGAAGTCTCCAGAATCAATCTTCCGATAAAGGCGCAGTTTCCTTACAAGAGATGATTCACCATCATATCCTACACAGTCTTTTCCAAAATAAAGAGGCCTTCAGCTGATATCTCGAATCATGAGAACAATCAACTGTTGATGTTGAACCACCAAGGGGCCCGACATGTGCTTCAGCTTCTCCTGAAACCAGGATTTATTTCACTTTTTGATCGATACGTCTTTGACCCGTGCTGTTCACCATCATGTTAAATAGATCATACACACCGCAAGTGCTCGTAACAGTCTCAATAATATTCTGTGTATCTTGGATACTCACCCACAAGCAAACATCTTGATCGTGAAATGCCGCTTTGCTGGAGTGAAAAGGAGGTCATTTCTCATCAGCTTTTCTGTATTCCAAACCCGCCCATCATCCCCTTTACACAATAGCCTCATTCTCTCAGCAACGAGTAGCGCATCTCTTCTCTCTCTTTCTCTTGAGATGGAACCTCATCCTCTACGCTCCCTAGAGGTAAGATGCCTTGCTCGCCGCCTTTCATCTTCAGTCAGAACCCAAATCATACCATCCTCCTCCCCGTCATCTGGCTGAGCGGAAATTTCTTCCCACTCCTCCTCTTCCATGTTGGCCACCATCAAGATCTGCGAGACCCTCGCGAACAGCTCTCTGACGCCGTAGTTGCCCTTGGACACGGTACTGACGATGCTGGAGAAGTCGCGGTCCATGCGGATGACACCATAGGCGTTTGCCCGGGCATCCCAAACCCTGCGTTCGAGCACACGCGAGAGGTACCGCGCCGTCAGGTCGTGAAGCGTTGTAAAGGTATGAGGCGTCATGAGACGCGCCACGGGCTTCATCAGCTGGTCCCAGCCGTGCTCGAAGCGATGGGACACTTGGTCAAGCATTTCCTCCTCGTCCTCGTCGTTCTGTTGAGCGAAATCGGCCAGCTCCTCTTCGGTCAAAGAGTAGTCTACGTCGCGGAAGGTGTCGCTGAGCACAGGTCGGAGGCGGGGTTGGACGACCTGCTTGAAGAGAACCTGGAGTCCCTCGTTGAGAAGCTCGGTGGTCTTAGTGGTGAAGGAACTTTGCAGTGTATTGAGGGCAGAAGCCACGAAAGCAACGTCCTTGTCGAACGGGAATGTGTCTCTAAGTGATGGCTCATGAGCATCGCCGTTTGCCTTTGGCGGATCGTTTGTGCTTCCGACGTTGCTTGTGATGATTCGTCCGAGGTACTCATTGGCAGTATCGAGACTGTTGATGAGGACGATGAATTGGATGATTCTGTCTTCTGGCGGGAATCCTCCTTGCACAATGGGCTTGGGATAGGATTCGTCTCGCATCTTTCGTTGAATCATGCCGACAAAGTCTGAGCCGAGGACGCGGCCGATGGTGGGAATGACGGATGAGATGACGTCTCTTTGAGATGTCGATATTGACTTTTGGATAACGGCACTGACGACGTACATGACGTCGTCAACCGCGGAGATGATGAATGCTTGGTTTGTGTCGATGTGCTTGTTCATACTGAGAGACAGGCCACTTGCTGGTGATTCGTCCAGTTGGAACGCCTTTTCGACTGATCTTCGGAAGAAGAAAGTCATCATAATGTTATAAGGGGATGTAAGCTTGTCCGAGACCTTCTTCCTAAGGTTGGACTTGACGACAACTTCCGGCACAGACAGCGGAGCGTCGTCGGGAGCAGATGGGTCCTGAAGGAGTCGTTAGTAACGTGTTCGTAGGAGTAGGGAAGCAACCAACTTACGCGAGTCTTGCCTGCTAAAAACTTGGAGTATAGAGACCACCGGCCGAGCATGATTGCGATCTCACTTAGAAGGCCATCGACCTCCTTCATGTTGACGCCCTCATCCTCACTGGCTCGCGGGTTCGCGCCGGCGCCCATGGCAGGCGAGTTGACTCGTGGTGTCCCGCCTCTCTGTTGAGGGAGGAAGCTCTGCACCAAGAAAGAAAAGGGGTAGCTCTTGACGTCCTTCAGCCGCCTGTCCACGTCTCGCTCATCGCTCCACGAGTCGAGGACAATGCCTCCTTGTACGTCAGCCTCCTGCTGCAAACGCTCAATGACACGCACCATCTTGCCAGAGCCATAATGCAGCTCAACAAGACCTCCGTGACCTTCCACAATGCGAGCAATATGGTCGAATAATCTGGTGAGAGCATTCGCATAGAAGAAGCCTTCTTTCCTCGCCTGGACACCGGGACTCTCCTTCAATACCGATCTTGCTGTACCGGCCACACCCTGGCAGACATACCGCCCATAGACGTCCAGACCAACATCTCCTCTTCCAATGAGCGGGAAGAGCTTGAAAAACCTCGTCACCTTGGCACCGTCTCCCTCCTTGGTCGCCTTCTCGAACTCCCTGAGGAACAGCCCGCATAGACTCTCCTTGGCGTTCTCGAGCGTCACCCACGGGGGGTCGGGAACCTCAACGGACGGTACAATCGACGACGCAAACTTGCCCTTGGTGATATCTTCCGGCACCTGCGCCGCCCGCGCAAGGTACGCCGCGGCCGCCTCCCAGTCTTGCGGGGCACCCATGCTCCCCACGACGCCCTGGACACAAGCCTTGAGCTCGACGACCTGCTTCACAACCTCGAGTGTATCCTCGACCCGGCTCTTCTCCAAGTCCAGCTCCTTCACCTTATTGCTCAACCGCCCCGCTGTGTCCGCAGCTGTCGAGAGCATGTCATTGCCAACGGACCGGGCAGCAATGACCTGACTACCGAGCCCCGCGCGCAGCAGGTCCAGTCGTCCTAATTCGCGGGCGAGATCGGCCTGGGAGCCAAGCAGTGCGTCGAGACGGCTCGTGATCGTCGATTCGCGGTTGTGGAGAGCTTCGAGGGCAGCACGCACCTCGGCGACGCTCGACGCTGCGTAGATGGTGTTGGTGCTGCTACTGCTGGGTCGGGCCGCAGCGCTGCTGTGTGCGCCGTCGGCGGCATTGTCGCTGTCCGCGCGATGGGAGGAAACGCCATTCGTGAGTGTTGACATTGGCGCGAGCTAGCTGACGGGTGCATAGCTACCTTGGCCTGCCAGCAGAGGTAGGGCGGTGTTGTCTGTGCCGTGAGGGTTGAGGTCCAGGTCAAGGTGTTAGCTGGCCCGAAGTGCAAGGTAGGAGGTTCGGTGAACCTAGCTCACCGATAAGCGAGGTCAAGGTGTGGGCGCAAGGGAGGAACAAACTTTGGGCTGATCCGCACAGCTGTCCTATTCCAGAGCATCGGACGAAAGCAGTCAATTTGCAATTGAATTTTAATGAGGCCGTTAAAATTATTTACCGTATTCAAAGTTTTACATATATGCTAAGGCCGTTGACTGGTACGACCCCCGTACCTTCACATGAGTGATGCTTCCGCGTCTTGTTCTACACTGCCTGACTGTAACCGCCCCCCATGCGCCGTCTGGCATACTTCCAGTACTTTCTAAACTCATCCGCCCAAAACACCGTGCTGCAAAGCATTAAAAGCCCCAACAGATCGAACAAGCCCAAAGCCTCCGTCTGGAAAACCTCCTGAAGCCAAGGGAAGTAAATAACAAGCAACTGGCCCGCAATGCTGAGAGAGACCGCCCAGTTGAACAAGGTGTTCGAGAAGAGTCCAACCTCGCCTCGAAGGACCGACTTTGATTCGGATCGGCAGGCCATTGCGTTGAACATGTCGAATAACACAAAGCAAGTGAAGGTCATTGTTGTATCCCGGCGATTAACCTCGCCATCCGCAAGCATCTCGCGTCTATATACGAGCATCGTGCCCGCCATGATGATGAATGCCGAGGTCATGACCCTGTAAAGCAGAGCTTTCGTGAGGACTGCATCGTTCCGCTTCCGAGGAGGCCGATTCATTACATCGGCGTCAACGGATTCTACGCCAAGAGACTGAGCAGGTGGGCCATCCATGATGATGTCTGATAAATTGTTAGTCTGGGCAGAACCTTCTCTAGAGACGGGAAGACTTACTGATCCAGAGGATCTGCATAGCATTCAGCGGCGATTTGAATCCGAGAATTGTGCAGATAAGTACCAGAGACAAACCAGCTGCGCTTGTGCTCAGCTGGAATGTCAAAAAGTTCTGGATATTGTTAAAGATTCCCTTGCCCTCTTCGATTGCTCGAAGGATCGTTGAGAAATCATCATCAGTCAGGATCATATCGGCAGCCTCCTTGGCCACATCAGTCCCGTGTAAGCCCATCGAGATGCCGATATCCGCTCTTTTCAGTGCTGGTGCGTCGTTGACGCCGTCTCCGGTCATGGCGACAATGTCACCTCTGGCCTGGAAAGCCCGAATGATCTTTAGCTTATGGTCTGGATTCGTGCGAGCAAAGATGGTGGTATGCTGAATAGCGTGGGAGAGCTCCTCTTCTGACATGTTATCAACATCCTCTCCCCTTAGGACTGGTCGTACTGCGGCTTGGTTAGAGGCGTATTCGATGTGCTTCGCAATCGGCATGCCAAGCTGCCTGCCAATCGCCACGGCGGTCGTCTCGGCATCTCCTGTTATCATAACGACTCTGACACCCCCGCGCAGAAGTCTCCTAATTGACTTGCCAACACCAGGCCTCGGCGGATCGCTCATGCCGACTAGGCCAGCAAACGTTAAGCCCCTGTAGGTTTCGTCGACGGGTTGGGGGGTATTGGTACGACTAGTCGGTGCAAGTGCCGCTCTGCCCCTAGATCTAGAAACCGCGCCGCTGGCGAATGCAAGTACGCGGAGGCCCTTTGACGCCATCGTCTCGGCAGCTTGCAGGGCCTCTTCACGACGCGTAGAGTCAAGGACAATCTCTCGGCCGTCGCGAGTGAGATAGGTGTCACAAGCTTCGAGAATTCTGTCAATGGATCCTTTCATATAGGCGAACTCCTTATCGTTAGTTCCAATAGTAACACCCATCCATTTCCGCTCAGAGCTGAAGGGGGTCTCCGTCAGACGCGGGCCGATAGACTCGCGAACGTCATGTTCCTTGAATCTGTCAAGCAAATCGAGCATGGCAACGTCCGTAGGTTGGCCGCACCAGCGCGTGTAAGTCGAAGTGAAGTCAGCTCCTTGGGTTGACGATAACACAGCTCTTGCAGCTGCACCGTTTTCGGTATACTGCTGTGCTAAGCGGCCATTGTTCGCAATGTTACCAATCCTTAAAATACGTAGAGTAGCAGGATCAGGCTTGGTTTCCGTCGCCTCATCATCGGACTCGACATCAATGGCGTCGTTAGCACCAAAATACCACATTTTGGCGGTTGTCATGTGGTTCATGGTAAGAGTACCTGCGGCATGTCAGCAATCAGCTGGTTCAATCTCCATCTAGTCCTTTCACCACATACCTGTCTTGTCGGTACAAACGACATTTACTGAGCCCAAAGTCTCTACCTTGGGCATTCTGCGCACGATGGCGTTATGGCGAGCCATCCTATGAACGCCAAGAGCCAGGGTTACGGTTACGATAATTGGCAGACCTTCCGGGATAGCTGCAACAGCAAGAGAAATCGAAATAGTGAAGATTTCCAATAGCTTCTTTCCTTGAAGCCAGCCGACCAGCGAAATGAGCCCAATGACTACGAATGAGGCTTTGCTGAGTTGAGAGCCTAGGTCGTCCATGGAGAGTTGAAGAGGCGAACGAGGACTCTCTGTTCCAGATACGCTAGTCGCAATTGTTCCGAAGTTGGTTTGCCCACCCGTTGCAAAGACAATGCCTTGGCCGTGACCGGACCTCACCAGCGTGCCCATCCAGGCAATGTTATTCTCGCCACTCCCACCTGCATCACGGTTATCGGACAAGGCGGATGGGCTTGGAAGCTGAAGCGTGTCCGCGCCGTATGCAGGGGACAAGAGGCTTCGCGCCTTCGTCTCTGCGATGATCCGCACGGGCTCGTTTTCTCCTGTAAGATTTGACTCATCAATCGTGAGATCTGCTGCCTTGGTGACCCGAATATCCGCCGGAATACGATCGCCCGTGGTAAAGTAAACCAAATCTCCCGGCACAAGCTGCGAGGCCATGACCTTTGATGAGGTTGCTTCCAGCATTTCTTCCCCGGGCGTGGTCGATCCGACTGACTCTGTGCCGTCCATAGGCCCCTGTGGCGGCCAAGTCGGAGTTTTGGCGCTGCCGGGTGTCTTGCTGATGGCTGAGCGGACCAGGTGGGCGTGGGCCGGAACCAAATGACTGAGAGCCTCTATCGACTTCTCTGAGCGGTATTCTTGCACAAAACCGACCGAGACCACGATGGTCACGGCGACCGTGATGCTGACTGCATCATCCATGTTGCCCAAAAACAAGGATGCTCCGGCCGACACAAGCAACAACAAGATCAGCGGTTCCTGGAATTGTTTGATGAAACGAAGCCACAGCGGTTCTGGAGGTTCGTGAGGGATCTCGTTCGGACCGTAGTCGCTGAGTCGGGTCAAGGCTTCGTTTGGCGATAGACCGTGAGTGAGGGACGTTTGGAGGCGGCTGGCGGCTTCTGCGGAACTCATCGAGGAGAACTCGTCAGCGGTGCTCTATGCCGACATGAATTAGCTAGATATCGAGAATACGGAAGTTGAGGGGGCCCATTACTCTTGACTGCGCCGATGTGGTTCGAATGTGGCCTGGCCTGGATCGCGATGATTCCGTCTCCATAGGTTCCATGGTCAAACCGTTGATGCTCGGCATCTTGGCCGCCAGAGGCAACAAAGCTTCGCCATCGTCGGAGTCCTTCCTTTTATGCCACGGCCACTGCATGTCTGCGTATGACGAGGCAGAAATACCTTGGTCACGACCTTGGAATAGTTGCAGAACGCCCAGCGCCGATCATCTGTCAGTGTACGAGGCGAAAAGGAGGCATGCGCCCAAGCGAAAGGATATGTCGTCGGATGTCAGAGTACGTTCGATTTCGGAGGACGAAAGGTCCTTTGTCGCCAAGGTATCAATTGCGGGGAGCTAGGCCCGAAGACATAGTTTCGCGGAAGCTGGTGACTGGTGACTGGATGAAGGCAAACGGATGTCGTGGTAAAGGATGAGAAAACGTGTGCCTTCGGCTGGGATAGCAGATGCATGGCCAAATCTGGTACCAGGGACAGGGCGTGCGGCGTGCCAACGCGACGCTTAGTATGGCGGGTCCGTGGCTGTTGTACAGGGGGGCCTGGAACGAGGACTCGGGAGCAGTGTCGCCGCTCCGCACATCCCCTTGGACGGCTGCTTTGAGTGCCGTAAGCAATCCAGACATGGGCATGCACGATATCAGTTACATGTCTCATGGCTGCAACGTCAAGTTATCCCAGCCATAAGTATTCAAGTGAACGAGCGGTTCTAATTTGGCGACTAGGTGTCAATGCCAGTGTGCCTATCTTACTATTCTTGCCTTGCTCTATTCTATATGAGAGAGAAAACATGTGAGAACTTTCACCATCAAGGCCAACTGCACCAAGTGAGTTTCCGGAGTGCTCCTGTTGCATCACAAGGTGACACCAGCATTTCTCTCTAGAAAACATGATAACTTACTACTGCACGCCAGAAATGACCAGGGCCTCCAGGTCCCAAAGCATGGTGATCATGTTGGGGATTCCAATTGGCGACACAGGGCCTCCAATGATATCTCGAGGGCTCACACTACCCAATTTTGGTTTCATCTCATGTGTGTCTCCAAACGGACCTGTAGCAGCAGGAACTCCTCGCCTCGAGATTCCTCAGCTCAGCTTACAGTAGTAGCTGCAGCTCAGATGTTTCCCGCACATGAATGATGCGTTGTGGGTGAGATGAACGAGGCAAAAGGATATCCTATTAGGAACCCAACTCGAGCTGCATGCCCGTTCCGCGGTAGGTACCTAGACGCCTCGAGTGGTAATCACCATGCATGGTGCCTGCTTCGACTTACAGCTTCCTTGTTGGTAAAGCTGCGGTCCTCCTCGTACCTGAAAATGATTAGATAAGGCATGAGAAGTTGGCATCCCTGCCATGTACTCTTCACACAGCCACAGTACGCAAAGATACCTCTGACCCGCCGCTTCCGGGATGGTCGCCGGGTCAGCAAGTTGATGATCCAAGAGTGGAGCAACAGTCTCACGTGATGTGGCTGGTGCCACCAAATTCTGCGCGGACCAATCCCTGCCCAATCCCAGCCCCGTCAATTTGCGTCCACCGGCACGGCGTCGAGAGAGAGAAGACCACCACACCTTGACTCCCCCCCCTCCTGCTCATTTCCTCCATCTCCTTCATCGCTGCACATCGCGCTCTTGCTACTATTGCTATCGCTGCAACTTACTTTTCAGCCTTTCGCGATCATCACGACTTGCTTCATGTCACCGCGCCTCGTACTCCGCGCGTGTTAGACTTCGCCCCGACCGCTATATCCCCAACGCGACCAGATTCCCCATAACAACGCGTTTTCGTGTTTACGAGAGCTTCCGCAACCACCCCTCCAACACCGGCGCGCGTCGCTGCCTATATACCTTAACGAGCAGTAGCTCTTGCTTCTTGCCTCTCACATCAAGCTCCTCACGTCACGAACCGTCGTCGCCACCATGTTCTATTCGGAGACGCTCCTCCAGAAGAGCGGGCCGTTGGCCCGCGTTTGGCTGTCGGCCAACATTGAGCGCAAGCTTTCAAAGACGCACATTTTGCAGTCCAACCTGCCGGACAGTGTAGAGGCTATCATTACGCCTGGCCAGGCTCCGATGGCCCTTCGTTTAAGTGGCCAGCTGCTGCTTGGTGTTGTCAGAATTTACAATCGCAAAGCCCGTTATCTGCTCGAGGACTGCAATGAGGCTTCAATGAAGATCAAGATGGTGCGCTCCTTGCCTCCCGCTTGGACATTTGACGCGTTTTACTGACTTTTATAGGCCTTCCGCTCGAGTGACAATCACGATATGGCAGTCGCCAACCTCTACGTCAACAACCGCGAAGCGTTGCTGCTGCCTGACAAGATTACTCCACTAGACAACCTGGATCTTCCACCGCCTCCCGACGCCGCTTGGCTTTTGTCGCAAATGGACGATGTCACTGCTACGCCAGTGGGTCGCAAGGGACGTGTTAGCAACCGCGACATTAACCTTCAGGAGGATTTCAACAACAGCCAATTCCTCAACCAGGCGGACACCCTCGATGACGAATTGGAGCTTGCACCTATGGAAGATCTTGATCTTGAACTCGACTTTGGCATGGACATTGATGAGCGACCCACCCGCATGGACACGACTATCGAAATGGGAAGAGACGCGCCTCTGGCTCGCTCAGTCGAGGACGACATGTTCAGCGAGCTCGACATCATGCCGCGAGGCAAGGACCAGACCGAACGTGAGCCTTCACTGGGCTTGAACCTTGACTTTGGCGACGACACCGTCCGCATCGCCGACGAGGAGGGCGACATTCAAATGGGCGACGACGACTTCCAGTTTCCCATTGGCGATCAATCTGTTGTTCCCGGCCTTGCTGGCGGTCCTCTGGATATGCCCCGTGGTCGTATCTCCGAATCACCATTGTCAGAAATCGACCCGGAGTTCGCGAGAGAGGTTGAGGAGGAATATTCCCGTATCCAGCATACAGATCTCTACGAGCCAGATGAGGAAGAGGAGCACACAGTCATTCGTCATCCTCAACGGGCCAAGAAGAGGAAGGTTCTGTTGCCTGACGAGCAGACGATGCTTTCAAGCACTCACATCAAAGACCAACAAGCCAACCACGCCAACATCCTTAGAGCTCAATCGTTCTTGCCTAGAGATCCGTTCGTTTTGGCACTCATGGAGATGCAAAAGAGTGGTGGCTTCGTCTCCAACATCATGCTTGACGGTCGCAGTGCCAGTTGGGCACCTGAGCTGAGAGGAATGCTCTCGCTCGAGGCTGTCAGCCGATCAAACGAGCTGAAGAGGAAGCGGGACAGCGGAATCGCTGATGTGGAGAGTGACAACGGCGCCACATCCAAGTCGCCTCGCCTGAATGTTGAAGAGGACGACGCGTTTGCCGTCGAAGATGCCGGTCTGGGCAACCAAAGCATAGCAGCAGATGGCACTATTCTTGAGATTCCGGCTGACGAGGAGGGCATTGCTTTTGGAGGAGACGACGACAACACCGGCCGACCGGTTTCGCGCGAAGGAAGTGCCATGCCGGACTTTGACGAGACCACAGCTCCTGCCGTTCACCCTCAGGACAGTGGTCCGGTTTCCATGGGTACCAAGCACGCTGTACACGTACTCAGAGACATTTTTGGTCCCGATGCCGAGCACGACGCCGACAAGCGCAAAAAGACTGCTGTGGTATTCCAGGACCTCCTGCCCGAGGGGAGAACGACAAAGGCCGACGCCACCAAGATGTTTTTCGAATGTCTCGTCTTGGCCACGAAGGACGCGATCAAGGTCGAGCAGGGCGAGACCCTCGGTGCACCCATCAAAGTCCGCGCCAAGCGTGGCCTCTGGGGAGCCTGGGCCGAGCGCGAAGCAGGTGGCGAGATCGCTGAGGAAGAGGAGCTCAACCAGCCCGAGCCGGCCGCTGTTAGCGCCCCGGCTGTTGCGGTGGAGGCATAGACGATCGCTGCTTGCTTTGGCGAAGACCACTCGATTAATGCATAGCTTTTGGAGGCTTGGCATGTAAAGTAACCGTTCTTTCTCTCTCTGTTGGACTACGTTTTGGGGTCGGTCCTGGAAATGGCACTCTGCCAAGTGGCGTTTGGAGTAAATTGGGAGGCTGGAGAGATACCAGATGCTGTTGCGGCCTGGGAGGGTGGGAAAAGCATGATTTGGGAACCCGAGCCGCATCTTCGTCGTTTGGAGTGGCTTATTGCCGGTTTCTACCGGCTTTTTTTCCTGCTGGAGTGCTAGTATAGCTTGTTTTTGATTGAGGCCATGATGGGCCTGTAAGGATACCTCAGTACCTAGTTAGCTTTTCCCATTGTCAATGAAGCTAGACATTTCAATCACCTAGACATCTTAAGTGAGCGGTTGATATACTGCAATTTGAATGCTGTGTTTCTGTCCCGCGCCCTTTTACTTCTGAACCTATCTCATTGCAGACTACTCGTGTAAGCTGTGAAACAACTAAGTTTGCAGACTCTCCTCAGCAGCGAAGCCATCCACGTTGCGAACAAGTGCTCTCCAATTTTGCAAGATCGCAGACGAATTAATGACTGTGACCAGTGGCTCTTGGGCAATAGTTCTCCCCGTTACATCGATGGGAGGTTGAGATCACTCAACATTGATTTCTTCGTGAACACTTGTTCCTCCAAGCTAGCAATTGAAGACTTTCTGCAGTTTCGTGATTTTGCCGGGATTTGTCGCAAATAGACAGACGGAACTAGAATATTTAAAACCTCAAGAATTGAGCTCTTTGTGTAATTACTCTTAGTAGGAGACCACTTGTGAGCATGGTAACATCTATTCACGTTCCTCAAGTCTTCCATGACTCCACAAGCTAGGGTGTGTCTTGAATAATGTATCAGAAGATTGGAAGAGGGAAATGATGTGATTCGAGTAACAATAGCACGAGTGGATTAGCCATTGCATACCACTTTCTAGTGCATTCGCATCTGTATCACTGGCTCAATCAAAGCTTCAAGATCCTCTACATTGCCAATCACTACTGGATCATCTTTATCTGCTCCTAAGAAAATGATGATACGAACGTAGGATTCCATCAAGAAAGGTAGCAACAGAAACTTCAATCTACAGCTTTGACAAGCAAGCTTGCCTTACTTGAGAGGCTAAAGTTATGTATGTTATCCGCCGTACTACTGACCCTGGAGCGACCTGCTGGACTTGACCCGCGAGGAGGTCGAGGTCGAGGTCTTTCAGGTAGAAGTGCGAGAGGATATCAAGGACTGGACTATTGCCATTTGATAACCAGTGTAAGAAACCCAGCTCACCCACGATCCTCGTTAGTGTAACAGGTCTCACATATATTTCGAATATGTCCTAACAAGTTTGGAGCTAGGCACTATATCACCGGATGCAGGCCTAAGATGGAAGATACTGCGCCTTCAGAGGGAGCGCCCGTAAAGACTGTGACTTCTACGGAACCATAATTTCCTTTTCGTGATCTATTGTTACTACATAGCTCGTAGGACATGGATGTAGCCTATCATGCCTTCCCCATACACGCCCGCAACGACCTCAGAATCGAAGTGTCTTGCGCCCGTGTGTCATCGGAAGTTATAGCTTCCATGCATAGCGCCTCGAAAGTCATTTTGTCGTTTACATGGCTGCCCATTAATCATTAACGACTACATTTCCTCTGGCATCAAATGATCGCTGCCTCAGTATTCTTACTACAACGGACTAAATATTAGTCAAACAAGAAGTTTAAACCAATCTGAATTACATAGTGTAACTGTAATTATTACCAGAGGTATAACACCCGAACCTGGAAGAGAGCCCGTCAGGCCCGACATACAAGGTCCGACATTGGTGAGGAGCAACCCGATGTCCCTTCCACTTCAACGCTAAATCAAAGTGCACGTTCTACGACGGCCCCTTGAGCATGTCGCATTTGTTGGAGACATGAGCCATATTGCCTCCAGATCATCATCTTACATGCCAGTCAAGGATCCTTATTTGCCTCAGCTTCCACCATCAACTTTGCTTCTTGCACATATCTCCAGTGTAAGAATTTAAATTCCGATAACATCTTCAGAATGATCAGACGACACTCTTTTCGTGAGATTGTGATGTTGCGCAGAAGATGGAACGGCCGTGAATGTATCTCGAGGCAATTACCTAAAAATCACCCCAGACGTCATTGCAGCCCCGTCAGTGATACGTAAGGTCCCTTGAGGCACAGACCACCCACCCGATTGATAACGATAAGGCGTACAGGACAATTCACCTCCTGAAATGTACGGGACAAACTATCCTCTTTTCCAGCGCAACCTCGAGACTTTGCGATACACGTCTTGAGCGACTCAGATTTTAATTCTTTTGAATCTTCTTTGTATTCTCGTCATTCCTTTGCACTCGAATTTTGGCTCCATAGAGTCCGCCTTTCCTTTTCTTCACTCGATGCCTCTTTCCCCCTCTACCAATAGCCATGGACGGTGATCCCAAGGTTGAGTCGCAGCTCGACTCATTCAGCTTGACCTTTCCCCTACCTTATCGCATAGGGTTCATTATTGTTCTCGGTAGGTCGCGACTGCGTGCGGAATCGAATTGACGCGCTGACTATGGCATAGCCGTCTGGGGCTGGGGTGTCAACCTCCACTACCTACACAAAGTCAAGATCGATGTGCCCTCCCTGATTCGATATCCCTCGCGATCCTCTCCGACACAACCGGCGCATCACCTGTCGACTTACCGCCTTGCGACGGTACTTTCGACCGTCTTCCTGCTCTCGATTTCAACTTTCTGGATCTTCTCCCGTCGAACCCCCGCGCTCGTAATCGAATATGACTGGTTGCCGATGACCTACCTGGTCGCCCTTGCGGCCCTCTTCTTCGTCCCAGTCCGCAACTTTTCGCAGGGCGGGCGATCGCGATTTCTCGCTACGCTGCGACGCGTGAGCATTGGAGGCATAGCAGAAGCAAAGGATGGCAAATTTGGAGATATCCTGCTCGCTGATGTATTGACGAGCTACTCCAAGATCCTGGGAGATCTCTACGTGGTGCTTTGCATGTTCTTCACGCCGTCTGGGTCTTCAACTGCGCGACCGGACCGAAACTGCGGCGGAACAGTGATAGTGCCGCTCATTATGGCAGTGCCGTTCGCGATACGATTCAGGCAGTGCATTATCGAGTACTTTCGAGTCCGAAGAGCGCCTTACAAGGAGTCAGTCGGTTGGGGCGGACAGCATCTGGCCAACGCCACCAAATACGCCACGGCTTTCCCCGTTATCATCTTCAGCGCACTGCAGCGAAGTGTTCCGGCTGATCAGCCAGCGCCTGGGTTGAACAGAGCATGGCTGGTGGCAGTGCTGCTCAACTCCCTTTACTCGTGGTACTGGGATGTTGCCAAGGATTGGGACCTGACACTATTCTCGTCCGCGCGCGAGCGCAACAATCCGGAGCACCCGTTCGGGCTTCGCCGGCGGCTTGTTTTCCAGCAGCCTGTCATTTACTACGGCGTGATCGGGATGGACTTGATGCTCCGGTGTACCTGGTCGCTCAAGCTGAACGCACACTTGGACAAGTTTACCGACTTTGAAAGTTCCATCTTCTTGCTGCAGTCCCTTGAGGTATTCAGGCGATGGGTATGGATATTCTTCCGAATCGAGACGGAATGGCTGCGGAACAACACGTCGGGGCTTGCGGTGGACGATATCTTGCTTGGGGACTACCAAGGCAAGTATGACTCTGATGAAGACTAGGAGCTACGCCAGCTTCCTTGATGAGATAGACCTTGTAATGTACGTGTGTTACTATAGGTGCCTGGAGTTATTGGTTTAGACGGCAGCGGATCTGAACGAAGATCTCGAACTGGCCTTAGATTTCTGTATCAACGAATCCTTCTTCTATGTACTCTAATAAAACATGGGTATACTTCTGTGTCTCTCCCGGCGCGTGACCATTAAAGCATTCCAACTCACATCACAATGACCAAGAAAACCATGGTCGCTGCGCAGTGTTTGGCTCTTTGAGCTTATTGAGGCAGTACCCGTTATGGTTCCGCCTTACTTTGCCGTCGCACTCACATCGGCACCCAATTCCTCCATCAATTGGTATTGAGTATGACGACGCATTCCCAAGCACCTGAGACTCAGGCAATTGCCCGTCTGGTGCATTAGCCGGGCATTGAAATAGTTCGTCGTGCCTGTATCCGAAATCCTCAAAATGATGCACTTTGTCCGCGTCGAGGAGCATGCCGACAGCCAGTGAGTGTACAGCGGCGTCACCCCACTAAATGCAACACACAATCCTGGTTAGTGATCTGCTTCAGGCTGCCAAGGGTTTGAGCACTCAGGGGAGAACGCGGTTGGACAAGATGCGACTCAGCAAGTCTTGGAGGAAGGAGCATCGAAGCTGACGGTGCAGAAGGAAGGCAGAAGCTTGGCTTTCTTGTCATTCCAATTCTCCAACGACATCCTTCACCTTCTTCATCTCCAAGCCTTCTTCCCCAAGTCCCATTCTTTGCCCACCACGAAATACTGAATAAAAAGTCCATCAGGAGTCCACTTACCCTTTCGAAATAGAAACCTCCCGTATCGTCAAGCGCCTTGAAGAAAGCCTGGTACTGTTTTCCGCGGAAGAAGTCGAGATCTGCTATCTCGAAATTGCTCCAATAGTGGCAGCCGCTCCAGGCGTCGCCAGATTGATCGCGGTGTGGCAGCAGACTCATCAGCGGCCGCAGCGGATATGGAAGCCATGACGGCTCCATCATGGCCTTCCACAGAGCCGACGACGCCAGATTGAGCGCTTCTTTGAACTCAGCTGTCTGTCGAAAGAGTGACGGCACCGTGTCCCATTCTTCCCATAAGGAGATTGTGAAGCCGTACACCTTTTTTCGCCGAGCCATCTCCACAAACGGATCGTATGTAATCGAGCAGAGGAAATCGACGTCCGGTTCCAGTCTCCAGTACCATTTGTACTTTCGCAGAGCTTCGAGCTGGTAGAAACTCCTACAGGTCTTGAAGTCAGTACGCGCCACCCAAGAAGCTTAAGCTGGACGTTAGGGAACTGCCACTGACCCTGAATAGAAACGGCACATGTGGTGATAACCTTCCTGACCTGCATGCATGGTGCCCCGCGCCCCTTGCTCGACGATACTACTCTTCGCGGCTGTTTGGTTGATCCACGTGGGGTATGTCCAGTCTTCCTGCGGAATCACTTCAAATGTTGCCTCTCCGCTCGCCGTACTGTTCAACGCTTCGATGAAACGGTCGTCAAATGGCTCGTCGTTGAGGAAGACGATCGGGTAGTGGAACCACCGGTTGAAGTGCTTCTCAAGCGAGGCAACAGTATGGTTGGCTTCCTTGAGCTCCGAGTTCTTAGCCAACATCACCAAAACTCCATTCTCACGTTTCCCAGTCACATCTGGTTCGCGACAAGACGTGTAGAAGGGTTGATCTTGCTCGATGGTTGGCCGTGGCGCATTGAAGGTTCTGCAGTGAAGTACAGACTCCATCACACCCAGCGCGAGAAGCAGCCAAAGCCAGCTGGGAAGTCGGAAACGCGACGGCCTTCGCCGCGGGCTCACATATCGGCGGATCATCGCACTGGGGGGACGGCTACAAGAGCCTATTTTCACAAAAACACCACGAGAAAGACAGACAAAACAAGAGGAATGCAGAGAGAAGGTTTTGCGATGCAGCTCAGTAGGTTTTACTCTGAACGAGTAGTTCGAGCAGATGGGCTGAAGGAATAAGACATATGACTACGCTATTGACGAAACCGCCGTGCAACACGAAGTGCCAGGCTACAATTTGCTACCTTCTACAGCATTGACCTCCAACAACACATACACGTGCTAATTATTCCTTGTTCGAGCTGGATCTAAAGAGGCCGACTGATAGAGCTGACGTACGCCAGAGACACGTAAAGTCAGGTCCTGGGCTCGATTTTGGGCCGGCGCCTTCTAGACTGCTGGTGCTGTCAAGGGAGAGCAGCTTGGGGGGGACAACCCCTTGACTAGCTCTGCGATGGTCTGCACGCCATCGAGACGCAAGATGGGACGGCATTGGCTCCCACTTACCGGGACGGGCCAGTGCTTGAGTTAGCTGCGGAATGCCGGCCCTTTGCACGAACCTGCATGAGGATCAAAAGCTTAGATTGTGGTCGAAAAAGGAGGTCGTGTCAGCAGCATTGTGTTGCGATCCTCCTGCGTTCCTTCTGAGCAGAGCGGGACGGCGGGCGGCTTGCAATGTCAGTCTAGGCACCAAAGTCCGACTTCCGACAATACACCATTTCTCGCTCCCTCTGAGCATACCGTACGGATGTGCTTTGGTTTAGGAAGAGCTTCTCGCCTAGGTCCCTCACAAAGCCCGTTCTGGGGGAATTCCGACCGACTAGCCGGGGCTGGACCGATGTGGGCTAAGCTTGAGCACCTCGAAAATGTCTCTCCAAGTTCGTCTTTGCACAGCTGAGAAGAGTTATGCTCATTTTCAACACTTCATTGATCAAGATCGATTCATAATTGGGAGATTTGGGGCACGGCCCACCGCTTGTCTTGCCATCTAGTGCGTCGTCGATGAAAGTTACCCGGCCGCGGCCCGTCACGAAGCTCGTCCAGTCAGGGAGAATTGATGCGCCACTGCTTCATGGCACCCGCCAAGTGATCTCGCCCTAAGTCTCAAGGACTCTTCGTGAAAACTTCACTCTCGGAGCGTGGGACGGCGCTTGCGTTGTTTCATCGCAGAATATGACTGGGAATACCTCGGTACGCCTTCACTCCAGTGAGATTTACCGACGGGCTGGTGACAGCCCGCAGCTGAGTTTACTCATGTAACGAAGAGCCTCGAGGCACGACATCAGACAGTCGTGTATTTAACTTCGGAAATGGAATACACTCATTAAGAAGCTGCCAAACATAGGAAGACTCTATCTCTCTCCGGACTACGGGGTCATGACCGGCACCAGAAATGGATTCCAAAGACAACGTCACACAGGGCAGCAGCGGCCCGCCCATAGTCTGCTGAACGAGGGGTTCGCAATACTTCGTTCCGTTTGCGGTTCAATGACGCGGAAACACTTGCCAAATCAGAAATTTTGTCAGGCGATGTGCAATCTCTTGTGCCGGATGCATTCAAAATCTAGCCCTTCCAACGGTTCTTCCAAGTTCCAACGGCCGAGCTCTGGGTGTCTTCCGATACCTAACATAGGCCAGCATGGACAGAGGAGGGTTCAGTCAGGCTCACGGTGCAGGCTGGGAGACGATAACTCAATCCCCATGTCTCAGAAGGCCAGCGGAAGATCTCCAAGATCGCCTTCGTCCCGGGAAAAGCGGCTCGTCGCTAACGAAGCCCCACGGGGTTATCTTGGCAGACTCATCTTCACTTGGCTGCAAAGTTCGGCGAGGTCGGCGGGGGAGGCCGAGATTCCTCTACCCAAGTCGCCGATTGAGATCATCTAGCTCGTGCCATGGTGTCGGGTCAGAGGTTTGAAAAAGGCCTGCGAGCGCAACTTGCCTAGTTACCAACTTCGTCAACGCACATTTGGAAACTCGATTTTACGGCACAATATTACTGCAGATTTCCTGGTGAACAAGATGAGAGCGCTCGACTTTCTGCTGCGAGGCATGCCACTCACGGCCATGAGATTTACCTCCACTCCAGGCAGTACGACTTGCCGGTATCTAATGTTGAGACGCTCCTTCAGAGTGAAGAGTAGCGTGTTTGTCGCCCAGCACGCGGCGCAACAGTTTTCTTGGCTTCTTTGTCCGTATTCATGGCTCGCGGTTATTATGACTGAGTGTCTTTTGACGGTTGATGAAGCTAGTACTACCCGAGCCTTGGAATATCAGCCAAGATCAATGGCGGGATCCTCCAATAACACGTCAACCTTGCTCACCGAGAACCCTTGTTCTGCGCCTGTCAAAGCCGATTAGACTCATGATCCTACCGTCCCGCGTCAACTAATATGGGGCAAGTGGTTCATCGAGTGGGAAGCCAGGGGTGGCACAGGGAGCAGGATAATCACTGCGTCAGCCCTGTGATCCAACAACTTGCAAGGACATGACGGGGGGGAGGGGGGTTCTTGATGAAAACCGGCATCCTTTACACTTGAGGCAGCACGAACAAACAAGCAAACTGATTTTAGCAGGCAACGGCATGGGTGTGGCCACCAATTGTGTTCATTGGATGGCGTAAAGGTGGCTCAATATGGTTGGCAAATAACGTCCAGCATGGCAATATCCGATTTGGATGGCGGGCGCCTGTGGGCTTTGTCTGCTTCGAATATAGATACAGTGATCCAGGCCCCTCGAGAACAAACTCATTTGCAATTCTGGTTCCCGCCCAGATCATTTCATGAGGAAGAGTACATTTCTAAAGACTGCGGAATTTTGAACTGGAACTGAAGCGGCCTTACCTGACGGAGGCTGATAGATACCGCTTGGCCTGCACTTTGCATAGAGGTCTTCTTTGTCGACAGAGTCATTCCGTCGAAGCTAACCATTCCCGATTCAGTCAACAAGTCCGACAAAGAACTTCGAGTTCACTTCTAGAAAATCGTCTCGCCGCATCCGATCAAAGTGTCTCGGTCATCAGCTTTGTCATTTGAACCGGTGGCTACCAGTGGCATGGGACATATTGCGCCAGAATCCCGGATTTCGTCCTAGGCGACACTTTCCTGCTTCGTTTTTCCTCTTACCACACCACATCGACGAAACCCGCCGTATCTTCGAGATGTCCACTATCATGGAGCCTCGAATCATTCCCAGCCAGCTTCCGCCTGGTCTGGAAATTGCTATACCGCCGGGAGGCGAGCTGCCCCCTCAGCAGCCCAGAGGCACTTACGACAAGAAGCCTCTCCCGCCGCTGCCTCCGCTTCGCCCAGGATTTTATCGCCAAGTTTCGGCCTTTTCTGTCATGTCGGCCATGTCAGTTACTTCAGCTATATCTATTGAAACAAAATCGACTACAAGAAATTCCTCGAGGTCGCGAAGTCGTGCCAGGACGACGCCATCACCGTCCCCTTCGAGATTAGAACCTACTGAGGGATCCGAGACAATCGAGAGACTGGAGAACGAGATCAGCACAATCTTGATTCAGCATAGCCCGACTCCCTTGTCGCCTGTATCACCACGATCAGAACATAGGAGTTGCTCGCCTCAGAGTCGTCGACCCGAACCAGAAATCAGAAAATTGGCTGTCCGGCGTCTGTCTACACCAATCACAAGTCCTTGTACTCTTCATCGATCATCGGCCAAGATCAAACAAATAACTGGGCTGGATGTTGACTTTAATGGCTTCACTCCAACGCCCACCCGGCCACCTCGTTCACCGTTGGTCTCGGAAACGCTGATGCCAGCCACACCCGACAAGTCTAGCAGTGTCCACAGCACAGAGAAGCCTAGTTCGGAGAAACCGGCATCGACTTCGGAACCAGCCCGGACTTTAAGCTTGATCGACGACTACGATGACGATTCGGAACCTGATAGTAGTGAATGGGACTTTAGTCCCAGCTCACGGAGGAACCACCCGTCGTGGATACCTGCATCTCCGGTACCGCCTCGGGTAGAGATATTGGATTTTGACGAAGCGAGCCCGCGGCGTCGGGACTCTGAGATTGGATGCTTGAGATCGCCTGGTATGCACCACTTCGAGACGCTGCCCGCACGACGAAATAACCATATGGAAGTCAGTTACGTGGGGGCCAAGGACCTCTACCATGCGACGGCGACATCGATTGCGAACTCGGCGAAGAAAACTGCGGGATCTTCACGAGATAGCATGGAGTCAGGGCGGAGCTCTATCCGGCCGCCAAAGAACAGGCTGAGCTTCGCGGCCAAAGTGCTTCAGTCGGGCAGGAAGCGGCCACCTACGGGCATCAACACGACCCCTCAGTCACCATCATCGCTGGGCCCTGGGATGGGCTCTACCGTGGGAAAACAGTCTTTGAGGTCGCTTCATCCGGATATGCACGCACACTCGATGGATGACGACCGTCTCCGGGTCAAGTACTCGGACGCTCTTTCTCGCGTATTCCGATGGAGCGGCGAGCACAGGAGGGTGGTTTCGGAGGGAACAGCAGCCACCGACCTGCCGCCGTCGTCAGAAGCCCGCAGCACCACAGCGACTCCGGTGCCCGATTCTCCTACACACCCTGGGCCCGGCCTGAAGCGGATGAGTAGCCGGCGCTCAATGCAGGGCCTGGCGGCTCAGTTCAAGAGGACAGCGAACTCGATGGTGCTGACCAAGGATGAACGGCGGAGAGAGAATTTACGGCAGAGCATCCGGGTGATACCGGAGGGTAGCACACTCGAGTAGTGCAAGCCGGGCACTATGGGACGGCGCCGGCGTGTCGTTTCGGGGCGCGGATTGCCCGCGATGCTTAGCGTGCTGGGTAAGGTGCCTTGGGATGCGAACCATCTGGTCCGCGTCAAGGAGGGAACAGCTGGCTTGGGCCAGAAGACTTGGGATGGTGTCATGTCTCGGCGTTTGTGTGTTTAGCGTTGTTTATCTGTCATGGAAAGGGGGGTGTCTGGACTGTTCACTGGTCTGCCTGCCTGTCCGTTGTCCTTTCTAAAAAGCGAAGAAGCGTTTGTCGTTGTTTGGGCAGTATGCGTGTTACTTTTCTGCCAATCCATGAACCTGGAAAAAGTCCAGATGATTGCCTACCTTAGATAGACGTTCTACCAAGAATATTCTATAGGGAATGAAAGAAGATAATCTCTACTTTCTACTATATGCAGACGAATCCGGTCGATGCAAGGCCAAAGTCTGAATGCGCCCAAAGCCGTGTGACGTGAACAGCCCCCACACCTCTAATAAAGTAATCGATAAGTAATAGCGGGAAAGGGTCCCGCATTCCCATGTAAGACGTCAACCCGGGCCAATGACAAGTTTTGGTCCATGGCAAGCTCCGCGGGACCTCCGTGTTCGCCGGGCCGCGGGCTGCCGAGCTTCAGGTGAGAGACCCGCCGAGACGTACCTGGGAGTCATAAGGTACCCGGTGACATTTGGTTGTAACTTGCTGTCCTGCGCATCTCATGAATGGACACAAGGTGTCTTAGCTTGCCGATCCAATGAGAGTTGACCATATGTAAACCTCCAGGGCAGAAGTGATATCTCATAATGAGATCTCGAAAGCATGTTTGGTTTGACTGTTGTTCCCATTTGCTGTTGACTCATTCCTTGCATGTCGGACACTTCCATACCTACTACTCCGGCTACTTGGCTCTTCGGGATATCTTAACTAACCCCACCCCCGCAATTCGGCTCGGCGCTTTTTCCAACAACTTCCCCAAGACACACGTTCGCACGAGGTGACTGTTCTGGGCCCTCGGTTTCCTCCTCCTTTCTCCAACTCCAACTCCAACCACACTACCTACTCCGTACATAGTCTGAAAGACCTTAAGGTACCTCAAGGTAGGTTGCCTTGGATAAGCACACAGCAACTCCGTCATCCACCCTCCTCCAACCACATCTCACGTCCGTGACCTTCTAGGCAAGAACACGCGCAGCCGCCCCCCTCCTCCTCTTCCTCCTCTACCGCCACCCTTGACTCCCCCGCGCACGACCGCCGAACGCTTGAACGCCGCATTCTTCCTGGACCTCGCTTCCTCGTGTCGGTCATCCTTCGTCCGGACCTCTAACCGGAGCTCCCGTCCACACTCAATCTCACGCACACGCTTACATACTTCTCACAACATCCCGTTCCTTTTACCTTACCTTCCCCCCCTTCCATCCTCATCCCATTCGATCTATAGGCGCGCAGATAGAGTTGCGAACTTGCACCTCTTTCTCCCCTCTCCATCCTCTCCTCTTCCCTCCCCCACCCTCCCCGTCGGATAGATAAGACCGAGACATGAGCCAAGCGGCCGCGACGGACCCCTCGCCGGCCCCAACCTCACCTCCGTCCTTCTCCGAAGACGCTGCAGCAAGCACGGGAACCAACACCAGTAACACTGCTTCTACTACTACTGCAACAACCAGCACCACCGCGACGGCGTCGCCAGCCCTGCAGCATCAGCAGCAGCTAGACGAGGCCACGCCACCGACGGATCAGGAGGTTCACGAGATCACCACCACGCTCGCCGCAGCCGCAGCCGCCAAGGATCCGGCCGCCACCACTACTGCTGCTACTAGCCAGACGAACGACAACAACGACACCAACGACAACTGTAACCCCAACCCAGAGGGTATCCTCATCCTCGACGACGACGAAGAGGTTACGAGCTACTGGGATGCTGGAGCCATGGCTCCCCTCAACTCAGTATCTGCGGTTAGTTGATTTCTCGAATCTCTTTGCTCCGTCTGTCTCCCCATGAACCCCCCCTCTAGATGTCCATGTAGATTGTTGTTGGGGTAGATGCGACCTAGATGCAGCGTTGCAGTCATGCCCGATCTCGCTCTTTCTCATGTGTTCCTCAGCCTATCACCATTCATGTAGTATGCTTCCCCAAAGTGAAGCTGTATCCTCACACCCTGTTACCCCCCTCCCGTTCCATGTTGCTTCCCATCATCATCATGTCGCCGCATATCAAGCGCTGTATCACCCCATGAACTCATGACTTGATGTTCTTTTGGCCCTTCCTCTCCTTTCTCTCGCGTCCTCTCCCACCCGCCACCGTCTCTTGCACATCGTCGCTGTTCTGTCTTTCCTTTCCTTTTGTTTTGTCTTATCGTTTCAGTACATAAAACACCACTACCAGCTATGTATCTCTGCGCAAATAGGATGCTAATGCGCTCCAAGGCGGCCATCGCCCGCCTGAGACGATATGTACCGCCCGCATTCCCGCTCTGGGACAGGCTCCCCGTAAGCCGCCGAGCGGCCGTTTTGATTCTACTCTACGCCGACCGCAGAGGCGACTTGCGCGTCGTCATCACGATGCGCGCGGCCAGCCTGCGGAGTTTCTCCGGGCACGCCGCATTCCCGGGAGGCAAGGCGGATACGCTGCAAGAAACACCGTGTAAGTCACGATCCCAACGGGGCCCACCCCCACGCCATTAAGAAAGGTATTTGTGAACTATATAGTTGACCACCGTAACAGACGAAATCGCAAGAAGAGAAGCGTGGGAGGAGATCGGCCTGCCCATGGACGACGCCCGCATCCCGAAACCCTTCAAGATCGAACCCCTCTGCTACCTCCCCTACAACCTCGCTCGCACGGAACTCGTCGTCCGCCCCTGCGTCGCCTTCCTCCACGCCGACGAGGACCCGGACGAAGACGACCCGAGCCCGCTCGTCGAGGAGCGCATGATCCCGCGCCTGGACGCCAAAGAAGTCGCCGCCGTCTTCTCCGCGCCCTTTCAGAACTTCCTCCGCTCCAAGGATGCCGACCTCCCGTCCTCGTCCTCAAAGGTACTCCCGCCGGGCCACTGGTACGACGGCAGCTGGATCCAGTGGAAAGAACATCCCTGGCGCGTACACAACTTTTACGTCCCCGTCGACGACCAGCGCGTCACGACGCCGGGGAACGCGATGGAGGTGGATCACCCGCAGAGTAACCTCGCCGAGAAGCTCGAGGAGGAGAAGGATAAAGAGGGCGGCGGGCGGTTCAAGGTGTGGGGACTGACGGCGCATATGCTCGTCGACTGCGCGCGCATCGCGTACGGCAAGGATCCCGAGTTTGAGTGCAATGAGCACTTTGGCGACGAGGCGATTATTCTACAGGCGGAGAAAGAAGGGAGTTTGGTGGAGAAGAAGAGGAAGAGGGATGAGACGACGACGACGAGTACGAGTACGAGTTCAACTGCGAAGGATGAGAGGGGAGAGAAGGCGGAGCCTGCAAAGATGTGAGGCATGTAGGCCATTGAGATTTGATTACTCATGACTACTGGGTTATTTGGGGAGGGGAGCGAAAGAGTCAGGATCTGAGGGCGTTTATACGCATCGCCCGCCCTCAAGATGTAGAAATCACACATATAGAGAGTCTGCCACTGTAGCTAGAGCAGCCGCAGCCGCCACGATGAATGAATATTTGCTTTCGCATATTGTTTATTTCGAGTCCTGACCCCCCCTTATTCCAAGGGGGGGTTCTCTTTCTCTTGCCAGACTCATCCGTCGCCGCCTGTCTTCGGCCTGTGGTGAGTCAGAAGGTAATGCTACCAAATATCAAAATCGACAAACGCCCGTGTGGTTAGATACGCCCCTCCCACCATTGATGTCCAAAAAGAAAAACGAAGCTATTGTGCAAGGGAAAATGCAAAAGCATGTCTATAGTTATTGTTAGGCCACCTGAGACCTTTGTGCGAATGAGGGGAGCCCATTAATGGCATGCATTGTCCTTGGTCGAGGAGGTTGAGCTTCCGAACGCGGCGTATCCCACGAATGCGCCGATGGCGACGGCGACCATGACCCAGCCGTTGTATGTCATGAAAACGAGCCTAGTTTTCGTCAGTCGCTTCTTCCCTACATCATGCAGAATATCCTTTCCCTCTCTAACATGCGCATTTTGCGAACTCGCTTCTTTCTCTTCACAGAGAGCAAAAGCCTGCTGAATTCGAGAGGGCACGCACGACTGGGAAGGGAGGAAAAGAATCAAAACTCACATGAGCATAAAAGCGTAAAAGTTCTGGGCGGCGTAGAGGGCGGCCTTGACGAGGTGTGCGCTCCTGCTGGCCTCTGCCTGTTCGCGTCCTGTCCAGAGGAAGGGGGTTGTCTCAGTAACGGTTCCAGCGACGCCTCGAAAGACACAAGACTTCTTAGCTCATTTGTGTTCGGTATCACGTTTGATGCAAAGGGGAGTGAGGGGATATATGCGCTCGCCCGAGGTCCACCTCTACGTCGTTCGGGAAGAGGGGCGCTTGGTTGGGGAGCGCAACTTTCAAGGTAGTGTGTATGTGGAAGTTGGGAGGTATGGGGGGTACAGGATCATGGACGAAAGCCAGGTGTTTGGTATATAGAGAGATTGTGTGATGTAGATATATGTATGTGTATTGGCGGTAGCCGGGAGAAAAGAGAGAGTGCTTACTCGGGAGCGAGTCGACGCGCTTGTTCACGGAGTTCTCGTAACGGCGGGATGCGGCGCGGAGGGCTTCGTAGCCTGCGGCGAGTGCGACGACGAGGAGGAGCGAGATGACGAGGCCGCTGGTGGAGCGGACGTGCCATTGACGGAAGACGATGCAGAGGTTCTTAGTGTCCCAGGTGAAGAGCATCTGATAGTGGGAAGTGCGGGTTAGCTTTGAGCTGTGATTTGATCTTGACATTGAGCTCCGGGAGGAGCGAATTGCGGAGGAGAGGAGCTCTACGGCCGGGTCGTGGAGAGCTGAGGGAACGCCGCGAGGGGATTTCACGATAGTTCGAGGGGGATGAGGTAGAGGGA